CATCTTAAAAGGAGGGAGGTTTGTAACCATCTTTAGGTAGTAAGAACTAAAGTAGAGGTTACTCTAAATGTTGATATAGATACTTTAGAGAACACTAGTCGTAGCTGCCACGTCAGCGATCCGCGCACTTGGTAGGTAGAAAGTAGGTGTGCTAGTTGACAGCGCCACGTCAGTAATCCGTGTGCTTGTTAGGGTTATCCGCCACGTTATCCATCCACTAGGAGTGATATGGATGGTGGGGATAAGATCTTATCTCATTGTACTTGTTGGTGAGAGTTATATAAGGGAGAGTAGAATCATTGTTGGTATCTCTCATCTTCACAGTTTACATTTCTATCTTCGAATGAACTTCTCTCTAAACCCTAGTGTTACATGCGGCTTACTACGACAATCCTTTTTCATATGGCCCAGCTTACCACACTTCCAACACTTCATCTCCTTCTTGTTACCTTCCTTTGACTTAAACTGATTTTGTGACTTGTTGACGATAGTGTACGCTTCTTCAATCTCCCACAAATGACATATAAAGCAGTAGAAGAAGAAAGTGTTGAAGAAGAAATCAGCTTTTGTTGGAAGTCGTCCGTCAACAAAGCTGTCATCGTTGTATGTGATTCTCTCTTTGTTTCGATGAAGTAACACACGAGATAGAGTGTGATATGAGGGTCGCAAAGAGCTTAAAAGTTGCAATGTCTTTTTTTCATCACTTTAATTCTCATCCAGATTCAAAAGATCCACCCACAAATCATTGAAAGCATCAATGTGGTTCTGCTATCATTTTGAAGCTTCTTTGTCGTACTTTCTACCATATTGAAGCTCATCAACTTTAACGATGTGAAAAGCCAATTTGACAACTCCTTAATGTGATAGTTTGTTTGAAACACTTGAAACATAGCTGTCACAGTCTCCAACTTCCCAACTTGTTTCAACACATTCGGCTTCAACTAGAGAGCCACAATACTCACAGCTTGATCTTGAATCTCATTCCAATCCTCGTCATCAACATTCAGGGATTTTGGTTTGAGAACCTTCCTCAAGTCCATTTTCTTGATCACATTCTTGACTTGCCGTTTCCACAGCAGATAGTCAGTACAATCATCAAAAGGTTCAACTTCAAACCTCGGTCCATCAACCTTAGATATCGCCATAGGTTTGATCGGCATGTTTTCAATTTGGAGACGTTCCGGATTGACTTCAAAACGATCCTCGGAAAGAAAGCTTAAATCCTCATTATTGTCGTTTGAATGCAGGAATCCAGCACCTTCTGCAACAATTGGAACAAGCTACACTACTCCCTCCAAGCTCCTCATGCCCAGAAAGCGCTCACATTGTTGACAATTCTCAACACTTAGTCTCAAAAATTGTCAAAAAATGAAATTTTTCAAAATTGAAATCTGAGACCACCCACGCGTGGCCCACAAGCTAACCCATTGGAATGTAAAAACGGTTTGTTAAAATTAACTTTGAGTAAAAAGTTATTAACCCCAAAGTTCAGGGGGTAAAAACTTGAATCTGGACATCGTAAGGAATCTTTACTACCAAAAATTTACACAAAATCTATTCTCAAACCGTCTTTTGCATCACGTGCTCAACTTGATTGAAACTAACTTGCAAAATTTGAACTCAATCGGATATCATTTTCTTACTTTCCGAGATTCGTCACTCCAAATTTGCGAACTTGTGAAATCACCATAGTCAAAATTGACCTCAATCTTCAAACACCCATAACTTTGTGACCTCTGAACGAAATTCAACAAAGTTTAGATCAAAATGATCGTTTCAAAGAGTAGATCAAGCCTATGTGTGAAGCTTTGGAAAATCAAGTGAAAGAAAATCAAAGTTTTAGAAAGCGATTTATCTCATAGTAGAATGTAATAGAACTTTCGGCTTTTTTTCGAGAACTTTCTCTAATCACACGATGAAATTATCCACTTCTTTCATCAAATTAGTGACTCTAGCTACTCATCTGCAGAAAATCAGCCAACAATTACTTCAAATTGCGAGTAGAATTTTTGACAACACTTCTACGCCTCACTCGTCTTCAAAACTGTGGAAATTAAACATCTACGTGCATTGAATGAGCTCTGATACCAATTGAAAGATCCACACATCCAGATCAATTAGCACGCACGACAGTCACAACATCAAGATAATGTGGTTCACCTTCGACATGTTTCGTCCATGGGCAAGAGCAGAAACGTACTAAAGCATAAACGTATACACGGCCTTTGTAGCCAAGCTCTATTCTTTCCTGTTCACTCTCTTAGTGCCATCCTGAACTGTACGAAGTGAATATCTTCTACTCTCTTCTATATGATAATATAATGATAATGTGCACATATTAACTAACCTAATCACAAATAACTTCCTAAACATGGTTATCACTAACTGAAATTAATCCAAGATAGAATTAACCTAGCAGGTTTTAATGAACAAACAATTTAATTTACTTCAAGTATTTTATTATTTTAATACGTTGCAGAACACAATTCAACCCTTTTTGTTCAAGATTGAGCATGTTTCTACAAGAATGTTACACAAAGTGAATGGTAACATGAAAAATGTCTTGATGATCACCGTCATTAATGAATTTGTCATAATTTGAATATTATCTTGTGTATAAATTAACCATGACATCAAATATCTCTGTACATGGCAATATGAACATGATGATTTGCAAATGTAAGATTACAAATAAATGACTATCTGATTGAATGATTTGACACACAATTTGTCTGAAGATTCTCAAAGGTATTTAGGACTTAAATTAATGTGGGTAGCATTGATATGTACTCCATATCAATGATATCTATATTAATTTAAGATCAAATATAAAAAAACATATGATTTGATATGATGTACTACTGCTTCAAAGATGATGATAATCAATTTTATGATATAATTTGAACATGAATAACACATCATTCGCATAAGACAATCTTATCGATAAAAACCAATTTATCAATAATATGGTTACACAAAACATACAATTTTTTCATTTGAAATTGGGATATAATGAATTTTGTAGTGAAATAAGTAAGAACTCGAGTTTCTTTTATTGAACTAATTGGATACAATTCATGTGATATATTGTGTGACATGTTTTGAACACATTTTTTTAATATATAAAGTAAATGAATATTTTCTACATTGAATCATAAATTAAAATAGAGAATAATATTTCTAAATAAAGAAATTCATTTTTGAAATTTTTGGAAATTACAGAAAATCTACATATATATAAGGAGTATTCCATGCTATCTTCTTAGGTATATCACTAAAGCCCTGTTTCTTTCGCCCCACGGCCACTCAGTGCGAGGGTAGCGTGACGGGGGCGTCATTGAATAGGTTTATGGGTCTTATCCAGGTTAAGCCTAAGAGAGGTAGATGAATTGTTGTAAAGTTCTTTTCTATTTACTTGGCCCAAGTTTAAAGAAAAAAATTACTTCAAATGATCAATAATCTTCCATCTCCTTAATTCTCCAAAAGTGGAGGAGCACCGGAAACAGTCAACTCAATGGGGCAGACAAAGAAAGCTAGCCGACACAGTCGGAGTTTCTTATGACTATTTTATATTTCGTGTTTATGTACTCACATTATTAAGAGTAATGCTTGCATGCTGACTTCTAACTAAAATAATTCCTAAAGCCTTTACGCGATCAGAGACCATCGAAGTTGCCCGCTCTGATTTTCATGGTGGGCAAGGCTGAAATGTCTGACCAATATATAAATAATGTAGAACCAAAACAAGATGTTTTGGTCAAGGCCCTATCTTTGGCCCCAGGTTTGTATAGACCCCACTAGTCACATAACGCGAAAGGTTTTGGGACCACCTGCACACAACCAGGAATCATACACAAGATCAAATTCCAGTCCAGTTGTCCTCCGATAAAGGGAATACTACTTAAGTCTCAACGTGTATATATATATTGAAAAAAGGATTTGCACTAGCAACTTCACTATAATATTTTGCGTTGAATAATTTCTCATAGTAGAATTGTGCAAAATAATTCTATACAATGCTCTAAAACGCGAGATAAAAAAGTGGAATATTAGTAAATGGAATTTGATGTATTCTATTTGATTGGTATGGATACATAATTCTTGGAATTACAGTAACGAATTATACCTTTTTACTGAGTTATCATTTTAATATTACCATCAAATATTTTGGGGTTTATATTTATCAAAAAACGGAAAATAAGCGCTAGAAAGCAATGCATAATCTTAATTCGCGTAGCAAGAAGTACATGGATTTCTTGGAAGGTCGAACTGAGAGGTAAACATATTAAGTATTCTGCATAAGTGGTAAAAACTTCATGACACCTTATTACTGTTGGTTGTACGTAATGTAATGTGGAGTGGAATGGTTCACGACATCCTGGAGTTGTTGTTTTCTGCAGCGTTTTTGTACGTTTTGTACGTAACAACACTTTCTACTAATATCCAGAGCCAAACACAGTAAATTTGCTGAGATGGTATATCTAGATCCAAAGATTGTCTGGAGAAAAGTGAACCAGGATTGAAGACTTGACTTCCAACACCATAGTTAGCTCAGCTGACCATGATTAGCAAAGTGGCCGTTGAATCGCTCGGGCGGTGAATTATACAGTTCCGGTCAAGTTGAAATGAACTGTACAGTTCAGCTGCGACAAGCGCTCTTTGAACCCTCAGATGGATCTCGCGCACGGTATAGGAGACGTACCAACCGTCGATCTAGCATATTCTTGATGCTCTATATGCTAAACTGAACAACGTCGGCAAAGTCTCAACGGCGTGAGGCACTATCCCGCTTCCCCTCTGAAGTCTTCCGTTGTGGTCAGAACGGTCTTGTTTGGCGCGGATCAGCACGACGTAAATCTTTGTTCATCGATCATTGCGGCGTCGCGTTCTTGTGCTGGTTATGAATTGCAGGTTTCAGATAAGAGATTTCAGCTGTTTCACGTCAGAAGCCGAACGCCTTCCATCGAGAGGGCCATTGAAGTCAAGGATCATTGGGTGAGTGTCGCTCAAGTTGGCCGTTGAATTGTCTGCATTTCAAGGTCTGTGACAAATGAGTCCAGGAACGGAATAGAATCTGCAGTCAGTGTGACTTTAGTTTCTCATTATTCCCGGACGTCAGAAATTGTCTTTTGCCTTCTGACCAGATCGCTTCTGTTTTTTTTGGAACTGCAGTCTTGGGTGCCTCCACTTCGCGCTCTCTTCGTATTTAGAGGAGGTGGAGAAGTGAAATAGGTCAACTTTGCGTTGTAGTGGAGGCCTATATCGTAGCGCTATCACAAAAACTCGCTTGCACAGAAACACGACATTTTCAAGGAAGGATTTGAAAAGTTGGTTCTGGTGTTTCCATTTAATCAAGGAGGCGTGGAGCGTTGTGAGCGACTTCACGCGGGCCCAGAAAGAAGAGAGCTCTGGAAAGTTCTGCTCGTAGATTCACACTCTCTAGGAGACGGGTTCTTTCGATATTAGAATTGTCTGCGTCATTGTCTCCTTCACAGTGTGGAGGCAAGGTAAGAATACCTAAATGGGATTTTACTCATCCAGTCAACTTCTGGTCGGGATGCAAATTGGAACTTGCTGGTGTATGTATACTGTGATTTTCTTATTTGCCCTTTGTTCTGGGATGAGTTTTCTTCAGGAAGGTTGTATAAGCTGAGACCATTCAATTTCAAAGCCTCAAAGGTCTCATGCTGTAAGATGCAGTGCTTCGTAATTGCGCCATGAGTACTGACTTCAACGCACAGTTTTGAACATTTTGTTCAATTTACGTTTGCAGACGTATTCGAGAAGGTGTGGACGGCCCCTCCAGTTTTATAACTGGTGCTCTGCCCTTACAAGCAGCAGAAGGTAATGTCCTATACCCGCAAGACTCAATTTTCACCAAGGAGGTTGGATAGATTAGCTTTTAATCACCTCGAGTGAATAGTGATGTTGCTTAGTACTGTTCTCCATTTCATTGTAAACAATGCTCGTTTTTTCTTGGGAAAGACCCAGTCATGCAAGTATGCAAAACGTTCTGTCAAGAAGCACTCTGTTGCCCTCCGCCCTCGTAATCCTTTGCTTCTGTATAGATGAAACGTTACAGGAATGTAATGAATATTCTCGACTATTATTTGGTAAGACTGAATGGGATTGAACGAGCTATTACTAGTAAGACATTATGAATAATTTCAAATTTGTAAATCTCTTGCTTTGAGTAGTCTTTGCACGATGATAAATACCTCATGGAGTTTCAATTTTGTGGGTCCTGGATGGTGCATTTTCCAAATTTGCCAGCTTCTGAGAAAATATATCATATGAGTCTGTTACTGAAGAACGCACAAGTGGCGAAGTATCCACTATTTCAGAGCATTTTCGAGTTGCATCGCTACCAGTGAGAATGCTGGGGAGTAGACCGAATTTCAATTCTGTGCATGGAGAAAATGTGGAATCTTGGCCCATTGTTACTTCATAGTTTGTCTTAAAACGGCATTGGTATGGAACCCTTCTGGTTTAGGAATTTGACTCGAATTGATATATCTGCAGAGTAGCTGTGCCTATACACTGTCTATTTCCTCACATGCATCCGGTTTCAGCTCTGATGTCATCAGCATTGTCTCAGGCATGAGTGCAGGCGTGCAAACACGCAGCGCCGTGAGAGGACCGAGGTCTCAGTCTCTTTTTTACCGGGACTTGTCTGCTTCTCCCGCTACTCGAGCCTCAGCTCTTAAAGGAGATGCCACGACTCCCAATACTACAGCTGCAGCCTTGTGGAGGGACAATGTTGGGGGAATAGATCCCCCTCCTCCTCCATTCTACACACTTGAAGATCGGATCGAGCGCTCCCCTGAATCCACGACAGATCTATTATTTCGATCGCCGGAGCCCAAATTTTCAACGAGCAAGGGTTCCTTTCCTAAAACAGTACATTCGCCTCCCAATGGTAGAGGAGGTTATGGTCTTCCATATGGAGAAAATCTGGGAGCACAAGGATCACCTGGTACTCCCCAGACACGATCTTCTCCTGGTAGCAATTCTTGGTGGTCACCATTGAGAGAACGAGGAGGTTTTGATAATGGACTCAATAGTAACACCCCTGACAAGGATGGATGCAGTCCAGTTTCAGGAGTTGTACAACAACCGCAGTCAGGAGGTTTGCTCACGTTACCAGCTCCGAGGGAAATAGTTCGTCCAGGCCTGCAGGGCAATGCCTCGTACGAAAAAGGCACTGAAGGCGAAGAATGGGTTACCGTTTTTGGGTACTGATCTTTACTGTTATCTTCATTACGTTACTCGTCACGGGAGACCACAAGATCTACATTTTTATCTAAAAGTTAGTTGTATTTCCTATTATTTCTCGCGATTGTTATAGTTTCTCTCTAGCGATAAATCCACTGTTCTAATGGAATTTGTACATGTGGACGTTTTTTTGAGCTGCTTTCTTCGTACCAGTCGCACACTCTTCTTTTTGGGTAATGTGCTGAAGGCTTTGCTTCTAAGAACCAAGTTCGAGTTAACAAGAATATTATCATAGCATAATCATCCACCATGTCTGGTGGGGGTTTTTCCGGGTGTTATGTTTAGGGGAACCTGATCAAGGAGTTTTTTGATATGCGATCAGCCGAATAGCACAGTGCTTCTTTGGTGCTTTCGGGCAGGAAAATACTGCCTTCTCGTTAGACTGAACCAATCTTTGATGCAACAGGTTTGGTGTGGAGGAGACCAATGCGGTTATGAGGGAATTTGAGAAATGTGGGCCAATCGTAAATCATGTCTCAGGTCCAGGGGGTGCAAACTGGGTTCACATTCAATACCAGGTATACCCCGTTCCCTTCATCTTCCCAACTATGACAGACTTCTGGTTTCACATCGTAGATGTTATGATGAATTTGAGCAGGTAACTCTTTGAGAGTTGTTCATTGACTTGGCGTTTGTAAACGAGGAATTTTGAACTTTGCCTCAAGTCTGTTTTCGAATTTCTTCCTGTTCAAAGTGGGATGTTTGTATACTTTTAATTCTAAGTAGTGTACAGACAATGGAAGGTATTCGAGCTTTTTCATCTACTATCACCCTTTTTAAGTCAAGTGCTCATTCAACGACTTTGGCACCTGGTGTCATGCAGATTAAGATTTCTGATTGGAGAAAATGTAAAATCTATGTATACAAGCTGAACTCTCAATCTATTGCCCATGCAGAATTTTTATGATTCTCAAAAAGCTTTACAGAAAAATGGGATACAACTCAATGGCGCGCTTATTGTTGGTGTGAAGCCTCTGGACCCTTTGCAGCGTCAAGCTCTTTCAGAGAAGGTCAGCAGAGGTGGACTCTCTTATATGGCTCTGCCTTCACGAACACCTGTCAGGAATACTACCACTCCAGTGAAACAGTCTTCATGGTCTTTTTCCTCACAACCTTCAGAAACAGGACCAACATCACGCTCTGTTGCAGCGATTGCGTCCCCTGCGAAGTCAACGCTTTCTAAGCTTGTTGACATTGTATTTGGTATGTAAGTTCGCAGTAGAGAGGTGACACTTTGTGTCATATAATGCTCAAACTTGTTCGTCCATGAGTACGTCATTGACGGCTGCAAGTGACTTTCGGTGTCTACGGCACTTATGTCTTACTTTCACATGGGTGAAAGACCTATCTCAAGCCGATACTCCTCAACTCGGCCCCATGGGTAGGGATCAAGAAGTGGTTGTAGTTGGCTTCTCTGTTTGTAGCAGCATTTGTATGCACGATTTTCGCCAAGAGGTGCATCATCTGCTGCTTCGTTTATCTCATCTAGTTAGAATTATTTCAGGTGCAGCTGGATCATGGCTGAGGTCGACAGAGTGGTTGTTATTTAAACACAACTTATCGGTTATCGAGCTGGAATTAATTTAATGGGAGATTACTTAAATGAGCATCCTTATAATTCCATAGAGTGCGATGTTAACTCTTGAAGCAGAGATAGGTACTATATTTGTGCAGTGTTACCACTACGATCTGGGTTCAAAATTTTTTCTGACTCTTGCTACTCTGCGTTATGAGTCTCGATGTATCTGCCCTTCGTGTTCTGGTTACTGCCAAGATGGTTTTTTGGAGCATGAAGTCTCAGCTTGTATCAGTGAATAAGGGTCTGGCTTTCACGAAAAGGTCTTACCTCCCTGTAATATCAGGAGTATTCGACTGCCCGCCCCTTCGAGAGTTTGCTTACCCAAGAAAAGATTGCCACGATCATGTCAATAGGTCCAACGATGTTGGATGTACTTGTGATGGGTCGTCTTGTCTAATTCCGCATCTAGGAGCTCGTCATTTCGAAAATGAATGCATGAATGTATGGTTGTGGCGACGTGGTACCACCAAAGAGTATTGGAAAGTTTTTGGTTATTGGATATGAAATTTTTTGGCGGACTGAAATGGAAGAACGGCATGGGTTGTTTTGATGGCGCCAATCACACTTATATTTGGGCTTATAGACTCACACACTGGCCCATCATGGTTTGTTCCGCATTCCACCATTAAACAAAATATCAAGAACAAGTTTTCAAGAGCTAATCAATTGCATGCAGTGAACTATATCTGCATGGAACATGGCGGTCGTCAGCGGGATCCGATAATATCTTTAATTCGAAGTTTCAGATAACGTCCCCAACAAGCCGGATAGTATCTGCAAAAGGATATCGTTCAGTCTCGAAAGAAAGCCTTTGAATTAAGCAGGGAGTCGATACCGAGAGGTAAAACGTCTTTGAACTGGTAATCGTGTCGGATTCCATATCTGTTCGGATCTCTGATGCTTCCGATGTACACGGTTGTACCACCGGCGTCTGATCTGTTCTCTTCGGTTTCATATCAATAACCCTTGTGGTACCGCACGTCCTACTTTAGTTGTTTGAACACTACTTTCGTTGTAGCCGTTGGCGGCTTTCAGCTTCACAAGAGAGCAACAACTTGTTGTCCAGTTGTGATAGGATTGGACTGCGTTTGAGTTAGAATCAACTCAAGTCTAGAGATAATTTCTTGTTAAATTTTAATAAAGTTGGAGATATGGTTAGATCTAGATTTTTTTCTAACTTTGTATAAATAGTAATTCGAGCCACAACTTACATTAAAAAATTTGTAGATTTTTAAAATAAAAATCTCATGTCTGTCTCGTGAACAAAGTTCGAGACATGCGAAGCATGTATTTTTTTTGTCGGCATTGTTTCTCTATTTGTGATGTTTATAGATTCTTGTATTTACTGTTACAATTGATATAATAGCTACAAGAAATAAGAGATGAGGTTCAAACACAGAAATTCGATACTGCAAACCACATTTTTTTGTCGGGTATTTTTCTTTATTCAAGGTATCTATGGATTCTCGTCTTTACTGCTACAAATGGAATCACAGCTACAAGGTTAAGAGATGAGGTTCAAACTCAATATTTCGAGAATGACAAACCACAGATTTTTTGTCTGCATTGTTATTCTATTTGTGATGTTTGTGGATTCTAGTATTTCCTATTACAAATGTTATCACAACTACAAGAATTAAGAGATCAGTATTTCGAGAATGACAATTTTTTTGTCTGCATTGTTATTTTATTTGTGATATTTATGGATTCTCGTATTCCTATTACAACTACAAGAATTAAGAGATAAGTTAAAAACACAGTGGACGAGGTTGAAGAAAATGATGTGCTCAAGGAGCCTTTGTGGAAGGCAAGGGGTTCAAAAAGGTCACTGCAGAATCTAGTATGGAGATCAAGTAGTAAGAATCATGGGAAGGAAAAGTATACTAGAGGTTCCACTTCAAGTACCTTAAGCGGATGTGAAGCAGTAGATTCCTTACCAAGTTCTAGTTCATACTGGTTGTGGGTTGAAATGAAAGAATTACCGTAGCGCTGGAAAATGATGGACGAGCACACCACCAGTTGTCTAATCCATCTTTGATGAAACCCCAAATTGTTCAATCGTTTGATGTCTCTTCGAGAGAAGTCTAAATGAAAGATCCATCCAAAGATATTAGTCATGACTATCATTTCATAGGATTGAGCACAATGTCATCATACGCTAACTACAACACAACGAGGCAGTGTTGCGGACATGAATATGGGGGCAAGAATGGATGTATTACTTAATCATGAAATTCAAAGAGTGTCAAAATCAACGAATGACTTGCATGGAGCATGATGTCATACGTGTATGAAGACAAAGTGTGAAGATTCGTTAGAAGTAGGGATTCAGAGTATCTAGATCATCATAAGTGATTTTTCTTATAGACATACATTGAGTACAATACAAAAGTAAAATGATGACCAAATTTTCCACAATGAGGAATTATGAATTATAGAAATAGAGCAATGCAATGATGAGAGTACACACTGATTCTGAGGAAGTATTTGATAGATAGTTATTGATAAACAGAGGTCCACGGATCGGGTTTAAATACCCAATCCGAGAGAGGTCAAGGGATGCGTCAGACATGGAGAAACACAACTCCACAAAGTAGTCACACCCTTATAGTGGAACACATCCCTGCCGGGGAATACATCCCTAAAGAGTGTCGCATACTTTGATCATAACAAACTGAAAAATAGGAAACTACAAGCACTAAATCTTAATACTAACTATAAGGACTCTAATTGCACTAGTCCGCACACATGGAAGTAATAGGGAAAATGACATTATTCTTACATGAAAAGAAAATCAGAATCAAGTACTAATTTTATTGTAATATATAATGCATTTTTGCATAAAAATTTTACTTCAATTGCTTGGCCAAATTACATTCTTCATGTTTGTGTCTTATGTGGCAACTTTATTACAAGAAGTGCAAGAATGAATTGGAAGTCATCAATAAAAAATTTTATATGAATCGTACGATTCATATAAAAACTGATAGTAAATGCTAAAATATTATAAAATAGTAAGTTGATAGAAGTTTGGTTGGTTGCATTTGCACTCAAATCTTCTATTGGCTTTGTGGATCAACAACAAGTGGAGGGCACAATTGAAACAATATTGAAGTACATAGTGCACGCTATAAGAAGCGGAAGGAGAAATAAGCAACAAAATGTAGTATTTGAAGTGATATATCTATTTTTATTTGCAAACAAAATTTGATAAGGACTCGCTTAAGATTGTGAAACAAAAGATTGTGCAAAAAATTGTTGCGTGAAAGCTAATGAATCTCTAATCAAAGACTACAACTATCATATAAATGATTATAGAGTTTTTTTCAAGCAAGAAAATCATTATTTTTCTTGTTTGTTTTTGCTTTTTTCATGTTTAAAAATGATGTTAACAAATATGATATCTCAAAGTAGTAGAATGAAATCAATCAAAACAACACACTTAGTTAGAGTATACATTGGAATGTTTTTTTAATCTTGTGAGATCCTTGACCCCTAAACCCTTGAATTGCACTTGTATAACATACATATTAAGTACATGAAAATAAAAATCATCAAATTAATTGCACTAACTTATATGCTTAGCTCAAAAAATTACAATCTGATTGAAAATGATCTACATGATTTGTTCTAACTTAAAACAAATTGTATCGTTCCCCAATAATCTTAAGGTTCTGAAAAAACTTCATAAATAGAAGAGACAATAGATTGCGGAAATCATAAGTTTTTCAATGGAAAGGATTCAAGATACTCAAAGATATGTATAAGTACAAGTGATTTTTTGGATGATATTTCAAATGATGACAAAGTAAAACTATAGGTTATCATAATTGATGTAGAAAAAAGAAGCAAGAAACATCTTAAAACTGCCATAATTGAGCCACAAAGTCTCTAACAGCCTTGATCATAAATGTCAAAAACCCTAGATGTAGTCGCAAGGCCCAAACTAAAGCACATAAGCACAACTACGTTGAAAAAAAAAGCAAATCATAGGTTCATTTGTAAGGCAAAATGCAGAAGATTAAGAACAACAAAAATCTAAAATCATAATAACTTCTCAAAACAATTTACATGGATCCTAGAGGTTTGCTCCTTGTGAGGACTTTGACTATGTCAAAAGTCAAAACTACTAAATAATTAGAATTTATATTTCCAAAAATCTAACTAATTATGAAGACATGAATTTGACAAATGATAAGTATCCAACAAAGCAATAAAGAGGAACAAGGGTTGTCATGGATGAAGATTTTGAAAATATCATAATATTGATTGGCACATTGTCCCTGAAAGATTTATTGTATTATACGATGATATTTATAATAGTACAAATTTCTTGCTAATTTCATTATATCCAATGCCGGTTCAACTTGCGACATAATTGCAACATATGAGGAGTTTTTGAACTTTTGTATTTAAAAAAAATGTTCTAAGGATGGAAAAATAGTTGCTGCAACTTGAGGCCCTAATGGCTGCAACAGCATATGATGAAAAAATCATAGCCATTGCTCTAGCAAAGTCTTTAATCTTGCAAACCTCTAGGATCCATGTAAATTGTTTTGAGAAGTTATTATGATTTTAGATTTTTGTTGTTCTTAATCTTCTGCATTTTGCCTTACAAATGAACCTATGATTTGCTTTTTTTTTCAACGTAGTTGTGCTTATGTGCTTTAGTTTGGGCCTTGCGACTACATCTAGGGTTTTTGACATTTATGATCAAGGCTGTTAGAGACTTTGTGGCTCAATTATGGCAGTTTTAAGATGTTTCTTGCTTCTTTTTTCTACATCAATTATGATAACCTATAGTTTTACTTTGTCATCATTTGAAATATCATCCAAAAAATCACTTGTACTTATACATATCTTTGAGTATCTTGAATCCTTTCCATTGAAAAACTTATGATTTCCGCAATCTATTGTCTCTTCTATTTATGAAGTTTTTTCAGAACCTTAGTCTTTAATCTTTTAAGAGTTATTTAAGAATCTTGACATAGTCTTAAATAGACTCAAGTCACAAGTCTGTTTTACACCTATCATAACCTCCAAGACTTTCTTAAAAGCGATGTTGAAATGTCAAGAGTGATATATGAATGAAAAAAAATACAACTTACTTTTAACGTCACAAGAGACGACTCAACTTATTTTTCATGATTAGATT